GTCTTTGTCTGCAGGGGTTGGAGGTACTGGGTGCTGTGGCGTTGTGGAGTCTGATGGCTGATGGTACAACATGAATGCATGAATATTATGATACCTATTTGCCTATGTGTGGATCTGAGGGGTTTGAAGGAAATCATCTCCCTTTGAACTTATCATAAATGAAAAAAATTGTATTTCTAAAATGAGGCCAGAGCTCCTGTAGGCAGAAGCCCTTCACTTGCATTAATTTGCTATTTTTTGCATGCGGCCTGAAACGTTTGGATGAGCTCTCTAGGGCTGCTGTCAGCCTCACCATGGCAGTGCTTACCACTTCAATCTGTAGTGCTTTTCCACCATCAGAGGGCTTTGCGTGTCTGTATGTGGCGTGCGACTGCCGGTTTGTTGGTTGTGCAGGGGGCATGGTTCAAAATAATTTTCAAACAGTCGCTTACAAGCTATTGTGCAGAACATGCTGCGTCAAACGAGAATGGATCAGAGCTTCAAGAATGAGAAAACAGGAAACTAAGAGTTTTTAAGGGACTCAACAGTTCACTCAGCAGGACATGTGCTGTTGTGTGTGTGTGTGTGTGTGTGAGAGAGAGAGGCCGACATACAGAGAGAGCACATATACATTGGATACAGCAGAGCTATCCAAGCTACAAATCACTAAGCATTTCTGTCAGATTTTAAATATCTTATGAACAGTTCCATTCCTGTACAGATTGTGGAAGTGACCTTAGTTTACCTAAGCTACAAAGAGAACCAGGACATTATTTCTTATTTCTCATTTTATATTTTGTCATATTTTAGTAAGAAGCCTCCCTGTTTTGGGATCTGCTCCCATGATAACATGCTGTTGGTGCTGCTTGCAGCTAATACACATTTGATCCCTGTTCACCTGTTAACAATGCTTTTGCTTTCTACTAGAGCAATGCAAGGCAGGAGCATCCTGTAATAAACAATGCCTTCATTGTCACATGTCTGGCCTGTAATTGCCTGTTCATTCTTCTCATTTTAAGGAAAGTCTTGAAATCATTTTTAAAAAACATATTTTCCCCCAAATCCACCTAATAATTGCATGTGTATAATGCATATATAATTCAAACTACGCTATGGCAAGGTGTTATAATTAAAAAATAAAGCCCTATTTACCCCAATATGTTCCTGCGCGCGCACATCCCTTCTTCATCAAACATCCGGTTCCTCAGTGTCATATGACCAGCGCTCTGCTGTCATTTATGCTATTCAGCACCAGTTAGCAAAGCACATCGATCAACTTCAGCTTTCTCAGGTTTTATTCTCTTTATCCAACGATGGCAGCATTGGTGGCAAACAGGGTAATGGACGTCAACGGCTTGCAGGCAGCTGCGAGGACACACACCCAGGCAGTGACCAGAAATTACATCTCTCAGCCCAGGCTAAGTAAGTAACGTTAGCAGGCTGCTGGAGCTAGCTGCAGCTGTAGCGAGAGGCTAGCAAGGTTGTTGTGCTGCATTCAATGACAAGCGAATGGTCAGAAATAAATGTAATCTAAGCATTTAGTTGTAAAATATACCGACAAAATAATACTCTTGTTACGTGTCAACTGGAAACAGCAATGCTTTATATGAATGTTTACTATTACGGAATGACAGTGTTCAGTGGCAGAAATCTTCCACGACAGAATCGTTTGTATTCCCAGCGAACTAGAACGCAGCACGGGGGCAGTTCTGATGGCTAACATAACAAGCTATTAAGCTACAAATTGGGAATCACAACTGTTTAAACACATGCAATTAAATGTGGACTAAGGTTACAATCTAATAGTTAGTAACTGTCATTACCCTTTGCTTTACATACTAGATACATTCGTGTGTGTCAAATGGTAAACCAGCGAAGCTAGCTGTAGCTAACAGTGGCTAGTCGTTACAGAGTTGTTGTTAACCGTTTTAGCTACAGATAACTTTAACTGCTTTTATTATTTTTTACCAAGCGTAGTATAAACGTGAGTCGTATGTTAATTCAATATAGGGACAAGTACATCATTGTCACTGTTGTGATGAGTGCGTACAAGCTAAGCGCACAGCTGAATGTCACTAGCGCAGTGGATTAGCTAACGCTGCAGTCAGACAGTCAGCTGACACGGATGGTAGCTACACGAAGGAATGAGACATCGTGAAATGTGCTTATTTATATGTTGGTTTGAGGTTGGAATATCCATTGTGCGCTTTACTGCCTTTTGAGCGCTCTTGCTGCCGTAAAGTTACTGTGTGGCGCTTTAATAAACCATCTGTATAATTGTATATGGGCATTTTCAACATGTTGAAGCAGAGACTGGTGACTAATGGGATGATCGCTCATGTGACACGGTCACGTGAGTGGTGCAGCCTGCAGTGTAAACTAGTAATGCTTACTAATAGAACACCACCAAAAATATAAAATCATATTGATTTACAGACACAGTTTTTTGTCAGATGGAATGTGTTATTTGAGAACATAGTTATTAGGAAACATTTTATATATATTTTTGCATTAAAAGTTATAATATTTCATTATGAATAGTGGCACAGTGTCTTTATATCAATCAATCAACTATTTGTATAGCACATTTCATACAGGTTGGTGCAGTTCAAAGTACTTCATGATTCATTACTTCATGATTGTAAAGATGATGATAAGACAGAATGGAGTACAAATTAAATAAGGTATATTTAAAAATTTGTGTGCAATGATAAAAATGACAATAAAATACAGATATAATGATAGTATTATATAAATTAATATTATAGTAAGTTATACTAAAAACTAAATGAAATTAAAGCTGCAAGCAGCATTGGACGGGACCTCGCCATCGACCCACGTCGGGGCCTGCACGGCGGTCGCCCGCCACAGCCGCGCCGCGCCACGTCACCCACGGCCAAGCCCTCATCGCCGGAAACTGAAGGATACCACTCTACGCCGTTGCGTGTTTCGGACACCGTGCAAAAGACTTAGGCGTTTATAGCGAGACTCTTCACTGCGAACCGTGGAAATTCAGCGCCAAGCCACGGACACGCCGTTTGATGCACAGTAAATAGTTGATTAACTTTTGATCACCAACGTGATTGCAGTGATCGAATATGAAGTCAATATGATCAAATCTGTAGGAGTTAGTTAAAATAGAAGTCCTGAAATGCCGGAAATGGCATCACAGTTTGACATTCGATTCAAAATGGCCAACTTTGACAGCACGCCACAGACACGGCCTCGACGTAACAGATCGCAAATAGCACAACATTTAATCAGCAACATTTCTTGATTGCACTGTCCAATTTTAAGTAAATTTGATAAGTCCCCTATGACGAGTCCGTTCAAATACAACGCAAAAACGCCCATGGAATTCAAAATGGCCAACTTTGACGGAAAGCCACGGACACGCCCTTCAACGTACAGTCACAAATCGCACAACTTTTAATCAGCAACATTTTTTAAGTGTACTGTCCAATTTTGAAGTAGATCCGATAAGTCCCCTATGAGGAGTTCGTTCAAATACAAGCCGAAAAATTCACCGAAAATGACCACAGAATTCAAAATGGCCAACTTTGACGGAACGCCACGGACACGCCCTTCGATGTACAGTCACAAATAGCACAGCGTTCAATCAGCAACATTTTCTGACTGTACTGACCAATTTTGAAGGAGATCACATAAATTCCCTAGGAAATACATGGCAAAAATTTGGCGAAAATCAAAATGGCCGCCGAAAGTGAAAATGAAAATGACCGACTTCTGTGGGGTTTGGGGTATGGGTCCAAGAGGCTATTTTGTACATCCTAACTTGCTATATATGCCTGCCAATTTCCATTCATGTCCCCTAAACAGGACACTGGGGCTGTTTTTTTTTTTTTGAAAGTTTGACACTTTTGACACACCCACAGGCAACAAACCATCCATATGAAATGTAATAAATTGCTGCCATGTGGGACATTGATGTGGCCAGTTTCATAGGTGTTGAGCTGGTTGAGCGGTTTAGCCGCGAAAATACGATCAAATGGTTAAACAACAATGGTGATGCTCGCCAGTGTCACTACAGCAACACGGTTTCAATTAAAAATTCATAAAGTTCGTAAGATTATCATTAGTCAAATTCGGGAGGGTCTTACTGACCAAATTTTCAGCTAGATTTGTTCAATCGCGGAGAAATATATTAAAGTGTAATACATTTCAACTACACTTAGGTGGCACTCTACTATTAGTGATTTATCACATAGATGAGTTCAGGGAGGGCTCTCATCAGACAAGGAAGTTTGGAGCCGAAATGGACCAATGTGCACTCAACTTATAGCAAACTGACATGTTTTGTGGCGGTACAGCAAAATTTGTCGCCACGCCACAAGACACGCCCTCACCACTTCATCAATATCATCAACAATTTTATGCATATTTCATAATAAATTTCAGGATAGATCTGATCATCGCTAGGATAGTTACATGAAAGTATAAAACGTCTATACTCCCTGTTGCCACTAGTGGCGCTCTCATATTACTGAATATTAATCACATAGACGTGTTCAGTTTTCTGTTTTCATGCGAAGGATTGAAATTGGAAGCCACGGCCACACAGTCCACGCTGTTTGAGGAATTGCGTTTAAATAGCGCGCAACTTTTAATGGTTGAATGTTCTTTAGATGGCTGTTGTCCAAGTGTGGAGTTGATCCGATAATTCCCTGCATGCAATTGCATGGCGAAAAATCGCCAGAAATCACCGTAAAATCCGGCCGACTTCCTGTTGGGTTTGAGGTATGGGTCCAAGAGGCTTTTCTGCTTCTTTTATCACGATACACATGCGTACTGGTTTTCATACATGTCGGACTTACGGGTCTTGGGGGCAGATTCGGGGGAAATACAAGAGGGACCTCACAGTGTTTGACACTGGCTCGGTCCCTAAAAAATACAGAAAGCAGGCAGAAATAACAAAACAATTGGAAGGATATTTAAAATAAATCATCATTGAAAAAGATAACATCAATGAGAAATTGAATGCAATTTCCCCTTGAGGGACAAATAACGTATTTTGGATGTAATTTCTGGTATTATATTAGCTCCTGGGAGTTAAAGGTTTAGAAGTTAATAAACAAAAATAAAAAAATAAAATGTATCTACTGTTATTGTCTTTATTGTATTGTAGGGATTCAACTGATAATTTTCATCATCAGTCAATCTTTCGTTCATTATCTTGGTTTTTTGATCATATTTCAGGTGTTTATTTTACTACGCGCTGTCTGTTTACATCTGTAACGTATCATTAAATAATTCCTCATTTACATATTTAAAATACAGTTTCAGTAAACTTGTAATACAAAAAATAATTGTCTTAATGTAAGTAATCAACTGGAGAAATGTCATGGTGATAGTAAGTTTTTTAAAAACTAATAACTGAAACTAACTGAAAGTCGGTATGTATTCAGTGTTGACCTAAAATTGAAAGCAGTGGTCACAGCCTAGGAGAAATATATTCTCTTAAAACAGGAATTAAATGAAAGTTAGTCTGTTTGGACCAGTTAAGTTAATCACATGGCTTTGATGAATGATTAGACTTTTAGATGAATGTCCTACTTTGGGAATGATTAAACAGTATTGTGACAAAGACAAAGGTGCAAATAATTGTTCCAATATTTACTTACTTAGATCAAATTGAGGCATCGTTTAACTAGTGTTATGTACCATGTGGTGGCCTTATTGTTCTTTCTATGCTGATTACATTATTTGAATCAACAGTTTCACAGATGTTGTGGTCTTTGGACACTTTGCTCTGATGTTAAGAAATTGAGTCTGACTTTGGATATGTTATTGAACATGGCCCTGAGTCACGAAGCCAGCAAGGTGATGTTTTTCTTTCTTTCTGTCGGAGAAGCAAGCATGGACTAAAAGCCTCTTAGCAAACTAGAAGGAAATGACTTAATGGAGTTCGGGCCATCTGAGAGCTAAGCATAGAGGATGCAGTTTATGATAAAACCTGTGTCCTAATAACACTGAACCATCCTGCTTTTGAAATTCTCTAAATTTGTTGTAGTAGAATGGCCTTTTTTCTCTCTTCAAACGCATTACTAAACAGCAGAGGTCCATTCTGATGATTAGGCAGCGGTACAGAGCCAAATGATTACCTCAAGTAACTGTCAGAAACTTTTTCTGAGTTCCTCAGATACTCCAGGTACTTCATTAAGAATATTTGTTGCATGTTTTAAGACCCTGCTGGAGGTGCTGGTTGCTTTAATGCGCCTAATTACTGCTTTTATTTGGGAGAGGCTGCATATATGTATCATAATCCAGGGGTTGGGATTCATGTTCAGTCTATCAGTTGTTCTCTAGTGTTGTTAGGCGCTGAATATAAAATAAAATACGTCACTTAAGCAGGGGTCATCAGTTTACTCAATGATAGAAAAGTGGTCCCTTTAAAAAAAAAA